CTGTGCTTCCTCCAAAATTCATATATGACTCCCAATGTGATTGTGTTTGTAGACAGGGCCTTTACTGAAGTAATTAAGGTTAAATGAGGTTATAACAGTGGGGCCCAAATCCTGTAGGATTAGCATCCTTATAGGAGGGGAGAGACACTTTCCACAGGCACATATCAAGGAAAGGCCATGAGAGGACACAGACAGAGTGGCCATCGGCAAGCCAGGGACAGAGTCCTTGCCTGGAACCGACCTCTGCCCCTCGGAGCTTTTCTCTTTGACTTGCCAGCCTCCAGAGCTATGAGAAATACATTTCTGTTCAGGCCCCCAGTCTGCGGAATTTTGTTTTGGCAGCCTGAACTAAGACCGTGGTAAAGGACCAGCTGGGAGCTACGGGGCATCCTCCCTGTCACCAAGTGAGAAAGCCAAGAAAGGCAGGAAGAGCTGTGAACAGGACAGGGACATGGGTCTGGATGCTGGACTGTACAGTAGGTAAGCCAATTTCTTTGCTTAAACTGAGTTATTGAGCTGTAAGTCGTATACCATACAGTTCACCCCTTGCAGGTGTGTAACTCAGTAGATTTTAGTATTATCGCAGACATGTGCAAACATCACCAGGGTCCATTTCAGACATTTTCATCTCCTCAAAAAGAAATCCCATCTCCTTGAGCTGTCACTCCCCTGTCCCCCCAACTCCAGGCCTCAGCAACCATGAATCCTATTTCTATCTCTGTAGAACAACCTGTTCTGGATATTTCTTATAAATGGAATCATATAACGTACGGTATTTTGTGTTGAACTTCTTTCACTTAGATTAATGTTTTCAAGGTTCACCCGTGTTGTCCCATGTGTCAGTACTTCATTCCTTTCTGTGGCCAAATAATATTTCATTGTATGTATTACCACAGTTTGCTAATCCACTCACCAACGGATGGACATTGGGGGTGTTCCTACCTTTTGGCTGTTATGAATAATGCCGCTGTAAACATTTGTGTCCACCTTTTTGGGTGGACATGTTTTCATTTCTCTTGAGTATGTAACTAGGAGTGGAACTGCTGGGTCATGTGACAACTGTTTGTTTCATTGTTCAAGGAACTGCCAGACTGTTTTCCACAGTGGCTACACTGTTGTGCATTCCCCCCAGCAGTGCATGAGGGTTCCAGATTTCTTCATTAACACGTACCCTTATCTGGCTTTTTCATTCAAATCATGCTAGTGGGTATGAAGTAGTAACATCTCATTGTGGTTTTGATTTGCATTTCTCTGATAAATGATGATGCCAAGCATTTTTCCCTATGCTTATTGGCCACTCTGCTGGTGAAAATTTTTCAGATCCTTTGCTCATTTTTTTAACTGGGGTATTTGTCTTATTGCCTTGTAAGAGTATTTATATATCCTACATACAAGTCCCTCATCAGATAAATGATTTACAACTATTGTTCTCTGTTCTGTGGGTTGTCCTTTCCCTTGCTTGATGGTGTCCTTTGTTGCACCAAAGTTTTTAATTTTAATTAAGTCCAGTGTATATGCCTTTATTTTGTTGTTTATACTTGCAATGTCAAATCTAAGAATCCGTTGTGAAATCTGAGGTCATAAAGATTGATCCCTGTGATTTCTTCTAGTAGTTTTATAGTTTTAGCTTTTATATTTAGGTCTTTGATACAGGTTGAATTAATTTTTGTATATGGTGTGAGGTAAGAGTCCAATTTAATTTTTGTGTGTGTGGCTGTCCAGTTGTCCCAGCACTGTTTGTTGAATGAGGCTATCCTTTCTCATTGGCATTCTTATTGAAAATCAGTTGACTTATACACACACGAGTGTATTTCTGGATTCTCAGTTCTATTGCATTGAACTATATGCCTATCTTTGCACCACTATCCTTGATTGTTGTTGCTTTGTAGTAAGTTTTGAAATTGGGAAGGGTGTGGTCTTCTTTTTTAAGATTGTTTTTGACTATTCTGGATCACTTGCAATTCCCTATACATTTTGGAATCAGCCTGTCATTTTCTACAAAGAAGTCAGTTGGGATTCTGAAAGGGATTGTGCTGAATCTATAGATCAGTTTGGGGAGTATTGCCATCTTAATTATGTTAGGTTTTCAAATCCATGAACATGCTTTTTTTTTTTCCATTTATGTAGATCCTCTTTATTTAAAAAGGTGTTGCTGTTTCCAGAGTACAAGTTTTGCACTGCTTTTGTTAAATTTATTCCTAAGTGTTTTATTCTTGTTGGAGCTATTGTGAATGGGATGATTTTCTTGATTATATTTTCAGACACTTCCTTGCAAGTGCATAGAAATACAATTCATTTCTGCACACTGAACCAATATACTTTTGTTAACCTTAATCCTGCTTGACTTACATATTTGGTACTTGGAACTGAAAGAAATGTTAACCAATATTTTTCTCTGGACTATGGCATAACTGGCTTCCCCAAAGTTTGGGATGTAAATACATTTAACAGTGTTTCGTAGAACTTTCACATGATCCTATTTGATCCCTGCTCTCCTTGGGAAGTGTGCAAACTGGGGTTTTTTATCTGCATTTTAAAGGTGAGGAAACAGGCTTGAGAGGCCTGTTGACTAACCCAGTTTAGTAAGGGGCATGTCTGGGATTAGAACCCAGCCTTCTAAACCCTAATCCAATGCCCATCATTTAGTGTCATCCTGAGAAGCTAAGTGGGCTTGACAGATGTCCTGTCCTCATGTGCCTGCCAGGAAGCAAGTGCAGGGCAGGAAAACACTGCCCCAAATAATGACAAAGGAACAGGGTCTCAGACAGTGAATCATGGCTGAGCTGAAACTCAAGGGATTAAATATTCTAGTGCCCAGCCTAAGGAAAAATTATTTTCAACTGCAGAATATTTTTTTTTAGTCTTACTTTTAAAGAATATGGAAAATGGACCTACTTCCCCCACACCCCCAAGAAAGGTTCAGAACATGTGTGATAGAGAATTTACACTGTCTTAGGAACTATACAAACTTTTTAAACTGCAAGGCCAACCGCTAAGGAGGCCAATTTGGCAATGTATTTTTTAAAATAAACATAATTATAATGAAAGTTGAAGCAAGGGAAACTCAGTAGAGTGTGTGCTATCTTTGGCACATATCTAAACACCTAAGTTAAGGCCAGTGAGAGAGGGCCGTGACTCGGGTTGAGTGCTGAAAAATTTCTTTGTAATTGCTCTCTGCTGTAGGTCATCATTTTTTTAAATTGAAAAACTGTTTCACCCATGTTTTCACACTTCCATAGGGCTCTGACAAATGGAATGGTCTTCATTAGTCGTGTCTGTTAAGTTAAAAGGGAGGATGATCACAAAACTCTCTGTCTTACTCTTGACTCAGATTCAAAAGCCAGCTCCGCTAAGAGATAAATGTATTTTCTTTTCATTCTTATCTGTATGTGTGTGATGGAGAGTGGTGGAGAGGAAACAGACAGTGCCAGTAGGACCTCTGTTGTGGTTGAATCTGCCGGCAAGTGCATGGCTCACGACTGGAACGCGAGGCCCCTTGTGGCTCCCCTGCAGGAGGGGCCCTAGTGACAGAGGTAGGGGGTTGTAAGCCATTTTGTAATGATTTGTAGTAGGGAGGGGTTAGGAAATTCCTCATTCGTTAGAGTCCTCCCCTGTTACACTAACAACATTTTCTAATGAACCCCATGTCTGCGCAAGAACTAGAAATCCTGTTTATGATTATGGATTCTTGCATGTGAAGATCACAGAGAAAGAAGCTTTTTGTATTATTTAGAAATATGTGCACACATATTTTCATCTCTATAAACCATCGATGATGCTGGCAGAAAAGGCACAGATACAAATATGAAACCCAAGTTGAAGGCCAGGCTGGCATTTAGAGGGAACAGCTACTAAGTGAAGAGGTGCAGAGCTCAGAGCAGAAGGGTGAGGCAGAGAGGATAACCAGCGCTCAGTCCACAAGCTGGGAAATACGGCACACGCGCCTTACCACCCCTGTCTGTGACGTGCTGGCCCACGTCACAGTGACACCCAGCTGCCCCCCGGAGTGCTTTCGCAGCGCTATCAGCAGAGTTGTGTGGAGGACAGCCCCGCTGCTGAGTGCTCATCAGAGGCCCGGGACGACCTGGACCCCAGGCACCACCAGCGGGGACTTCCCTCCTTCACCACTGCTGGGGGGTGGGTAGTCGGCCTCCCTAGAGGTCTCCTTTCCCTTTCTATCTTCCTCTGCGCTGTGCGGTGGGGAAAAGAGCCCGAAAGATGCTCTGACTTTATTTCGCTTAGGTAATCCTCCCCTTTCCCCTGCCACTCCTTATCTTCCCAGTGCCTTAGGACAGTTCCCGTGCACAAAATTGAATCTCACTGCATTCTGTTAAAATGCACCTGCAGTCTCTCTTACCGCAGTGCGGTTCTGTTTGCCTCAAAACCAGCGATGGTGCAGGGTGATTTTGTGCTCCCTTCCCACATAAGTGGCCAGTTCTCCGATTTTGCATTTGAAGATCCAGAAGGAAGTTATTTTTAGCTTAGGCCCTGAATGTGGATCAAGTATTTATTTGGCCATTGAGAAATGTTTAGCTGCTCAAGTAGAAATGACTGCTTTCTTGAGAGACCATGAAAGGCTAGGCCAATATAAAGATCCTTCAAAATTCTTTTAAACACCAGTTTCAAGAATGCAAATATGAATATTCATCAAGGGAAAAAAATGCTCTCTCCAGCACAAATTCAAATACAAATTAAAGCAAATTTGAACAGCCATTTACAACTGGTAAGTGGGGAAACATCTTAACATGATTATCAAATATGCAGTGTGTTTCTAGTGAATCTGATTCATTTTTACAGCTGTCTTGGGAAGCAGTATGACGATATTAATCAGCGTTCACCACTGGATCTTAGTGAGCGCAACTCTGCAGTGTAAATGGTGGCCCTGCACAGAAAAGAGTTTCTTGCTTCTGTATTTTTTTTTTTTTTTTCTGAAGGACACAAAGCAAAAGAAGTTAAAAACTCTTTATAAAGATGTGGAGGACTTCCAGTGCTGGTGATATGACAGCCTTGGATACCCAAAAACCCCATTCCAAACATCTTGAAATGGTAGGTAAAATATAAGAAGTATCAGTTAAAACAAGTAAATTAGAGTTACATGTATCAATATGACTAAATTTTAAAAATATGTTAACAAAAAAAATTCTACATATAGTATGATGACATTTAAGAAAAAACAAATGCTAAATTCCATATTGCTTTTTGATAACTATGTCTATAGAAAAAAATATAAAGTCAGCCCAGAGATATTACCAACTCCACATTCCTGATTACCTCTTGGAGGGAGATAGGAGTATTTATCAAGAATGGACTTTCTACCATATCTTTAAATATTCTTTTAAAAATAAAATATTTTTTTTAGAAAAAATTCAAAGATTAATAAAGGTAGCTGGATTCTAGAAATATCTTATAATAAAGATATTCACTTTTAACAACAGATAATTGTTAAATTGTTTTAGCAACAGAAACATCCTTAATGTGCAATTAATTTGGGGATAATTAAACAAATCATTCCATTTACATTTTATACATTATTCAGCTAATATGTTAAAAAATGAGCATTTATAAGGCCTGGGGTATACTCAGAATAAAGCTAGGCAGTTTAGTAAACACAGTCTCCATAGAGAAGTTCATTCAAAGAAATATCATCCTAAAATATAAATTGTTAGAAAATTAATCTAAATCTCTAATAGTTCTCAAACTTATGAAGTGCTCCTTCTTTCTTAAGCACAGCAAAAGTTCTTAATATTATTTTTCTGTTTCTCTGATTCTCACGGACAGGTTAGCTACCTGGAAGGTCTCTCTCTCTCTCTCTCTCTCCTCTTCCTCCACATTTTTAACTTGACCAACCACCAAGACCAGTTCCACAGACAACCTTTTCTTTCCTGCTCTCTCAGGTTCTGGATTTTTTTTTTTTTATTGCCACTGACCCTGACCTCTTTCCAATATATATCACTCAGTCATGTTCCAAAGCCTTTCATTCTTCATCTATTGTCTCAATTCTGCAAATTAAAGTCTCTGGAACTGAACTCACAAAGAAGGAATTCTTAACCAGTGGGGGAATGAAAGTGGCTGTGAACACACTGCGTTCATAACTCATTTTTCCTGCTAGTAAAAACAAGCAAACCATGTGTGACCTATTGTTGAGCAAAGAGAACTTCACTCTAAAATTCATGTTTGCTATGCTTTGTCTACAGTCTCAAACTGACATGGGTCCCCATTTCAAGTATAAGGTGTCTTAGGTATTTGGATTCACCTTCCTGGTGGAAAAAAACATTAACATAAAAGATAAAATATAAAAAAATATTTAAAAATGTCAAAGTGCTGAATGCTAAGGAAATATGGGCCAATATGTGAAGGTGGGAACTGAAAAATCAGATGCATTTTCCATATATACCCAACATGAGCTTTAGTTTCCAGGACCTCAAAAGGCTCCTGGGATAGCAGATAAAGTACATGGCACACACAAGGTGAGGAGTGTAGCAGAGACTCTCAGAAAATGCCAAGACCTTCAAGGTTCACGCTCTCAAGTTAAGGGTGACCTGGAAATTAATTTGTCTAAACTCTTGAGTACAGGGGATATAATGGCAATGGTTGGAGCAGAGTAAAGGAAAACATACAAACAAAAACAACCTATAACCAGAAACTCATTTCCTCGAGGACTTGCATCCCAAATTTACATTATGTATGTAATTCAGAAGACTCTACCTATGAGCTTAATGTATAATTACCCCAGAATAGTAACTCCCTGAGGTACCAGGAAGAAGCAATACACATCTTTTGTGAAGGTCTACTCTTTATCCTACACCTCAGTGAATTCTTATAAATGATTTTCCCAAGGGAAGTAAAAAAAAGTAACCAGATTCAGTGTGATGGTTAATTTCACATGTCAACTTGACTGGATTAAGAGATGCCCAGAGAGCTGGTAAAACATTATTCCTGGGTGTGTCTGTGAGGGTGTCTCTGGAAGAGATTAACATTTGAATCAGAAGACTGAGTAAAAAATATCTGCCCTGAACATGTGGACAGACACCATCCAGTCCACTGAGGGTCCAAATAGAACAAAAAAGATGAAGGAAAGGCAAATTTTTGCTCTCTCTGCTTGAGCTGGGAAGCCCATCTTCTCCTGCCCTTGTACATTGAAGCTCCTGGTTCCTGGCTTTTGAACTCAGACTGAGCTAGACAACTGTCATTCTTGGTTCTCCAGCTTGCAGACAGCAGACTGTGGGACTTTGTGTCCTTTATAACCATGTGAGTCAATTACTATGATAAATCTCTTCTTATGTATATATTCTATTGCTTCTGGTTCTCTGGAGAACCCTAATACACTCATCATAAGCAGGAACTTGCAGAAACAAAAAAGAACAGACCCACAAGCCTCCTCCTGGAATTTTCAGACACAGAATATGAAAATATTTACTTTACTAAAAAAAAGAAAAGACAATTGGGAAAATGTCTGCAGGGAACAGGAAGCTACAGAACTTCCTGACGTAAAAAAATACTTAACATATAAAATGTTGGATAGACAGATTTAATAGCAGTCAATAAAACTGCAGAGAGGATTGGGACATCAGAAAAAGTTACTCAGAATGTACAACAGAGATGACGATATGGAAAACATGAAAGAGAGGATTTGAGAAAGGGAGGACAGAGTGAGAAAGTCAAAATACATTTATTAGGAGTTTTGAAATAAAAGAAAGCATGGCATGAGAAAAAGACAATGGCAGAGATTAGAACACAGACCTAGATGCTCAGGAATGAGAAGCAGGATAAGCAAATTCAATCATAGGTATTTAAAAGTGAAACTAGAAAATCAGTATCAGGAATATTTAAAAAGTGACAAGAATTTGTGACAATACAAACTTTGAGGGTATTATGAAAAGTGACATAAGTCAGAGAAAGACAAATACTGTATGATGTCACTTGTGTGTACAATATAAAAAAGCCAAATTCATAGACACAGAGACTAGAATGGCAGTTATCAAAGTCTGGAGGTGGTGGAAATGAGATGTTGATCAAAAAGTACACATTTCTTTTATAAAATGAGTAAGTTCTGAGGACCTAATGTCTATCATGGTGAGTATAACAATATTGTATTATACACTTGAAAGTTGCCAAAAGAGTAGATTTTAAATGTTCTCAGTGGAATAGTAAAAACAAAAAGGTAATTATATGAGGCGATGGATGTTAACTAACCTTATTGTGGTAATCATTTCACAATATATACATGCAATAAATCATCATGTTGTACACCTTAAACTTATATGCTATGGTATGTCAATTTTATCTCAATAAAACTGGGAAAAAGTTGTTCAAAGTAAAAGAAGCAAGAAAAAAGCTTGATCACTTTGAAAGAAATGCTAGCTAAACAGCCAGCTTCTCAATGAAAGTCAGAAAATAATGAAGCCTTTAATGTGTTAAGAAAAAATGAGTGCTAACCTAGAGTTCAACACACAGCAAAATATCTTTAAAGTTTGAGAGTGAAATAAAGACATTTGCACACACACAAAACTTGAGATCCACCCCCCACTCCCAGCCATCATTACAAGAGAAACTCCAAAGGTTATACTTGAGGCGGAAGTAAAGTGAATTCAGAAAGAATGGCTTAGATATGAGAATAAATGAAAGGAAAATGGATAAATTTATGGATAAATCTTAGCATTGACTATAAAGCAATAATATCTTATGTGGGTCTTTTTTAAAAAAGCAAGACAGAGTCTAAGTAAACACTTTAAATAGAAATTTGGATAGTGTCCAGATTAGAAGAGTGAAAAATAATATGAAAAATACTCCAGCAATTCCCAGAAAGGCAAGAATAGATAGAAAGAAACTCTTCATAAAAGAGCAAGAACAAATAGAAAATACAGAGATGTAATTACACTAAGCTTAAATGAATCATAGCCTCCAGTTAAGAGAAGAATGCATGCCTGGGTACACAAAACCCCAACCATCTGTTGTTTAACAAGAGACATATTTAAACAAAAAGGATAAACAATGGTTGAAAGTAAAAGGGTTGAAATAAGTACACCTGGTAATGTCTAATGGAAAGAGGACTGGTGTGGCTATCTTAATACCAGACAAAAGAAACTTTCAGACATAAAGCATTACTAAACAATGAAGCAGGTTGATCTTAAAGGAGAATGTTCAATTTTACACCATATTCAACCCATATTCAACCTCCAGCCACCTTCAGGCCCCAAGACTTACTTGCATTAATAACATATTCTTATAATAGATAAAGTCAACATTGACACACCTTCCAGGAGAAATAGACAAACCCACAATCATGGTAGATTTTAACACACCTCTCTGTATTTAGTGCAAAGAGCAGAAGACTTCAAGGAAACATGAGAAGAGAGAAATAATGGGAGAGTTATGTTTGTCTTTTTCTTTTAAAAATTGTTCTTGTCTCACACCTGTGAGAATGGCTAGTATCAAAAAGGCAAGAAGTTACTAGTGCTGATGAGGATGAGGAGAAAAAGGAACCCTTGTGCACTGTTAGTGGGAGTAAGTTGGTGAAACCACTATGGAAAACAGCACAGAGTTTCCTTAAAAATTTAAAAAAAGAAATACCATGTGTTCCAGTAACTTCATTCAGGGTATTTACCCAAAGAAAAAATAATCACTAATTTGAAAAGCTAAACACACTCTTACGTTCATTGCAGCATTATTTACAATAACCAATACATGGCAACAGCTTAAGTGTCCATCCACGGTTGAATGGATAAAGAAGATGTGGTACATATACACAATGGGATATTACTCAGCCATAAAAAGAATAGAATCTTGCCACTTGCAACAATATGGATGGACTTTCAGGGTGTTATGCTTTGTGAAGTAAGTCAGACAGAGAAAGACAAATACCATATGAGTTTGCTAAAATGTGGAATCAAAAAAAAAAATGACAACCAGCTCATAAATACAAAGAATAGATATGTGCTTGCCAAAGGCAGAGGTTGGGAGGGAGGACAACTAGGTGAAGGTGGTCAAAAGGTAAAAAAAATAAGGTCCCATTAATTTTTTTTTTTTTAGGAGAGCAAGGTACAGGCTTTTATTTAGAGATAAAGTGAAAGGACAGAGTTCCCGGCTCACGCCAGGAAGGGACAAGAGTCCCCCATTAATTTTTTATATTTAGAATTACAGTTGAACTAGAAACAGGATCTGAGGTGAGGCTTCCACGGCTTCGTGTCTTGGGGGGCTCTAGGCCCCAAGGTTGCCCATCCCTTTTCAAACCTCTCGGCACCTGGGAGTGATTAAGAGCAGCAGAGTGGGAGGAAAGAACGTGAGAAATCAGGTGTTGGCATTTTTTTTCAAACATTCTCCTTCCTGCCTTTTCCAGCAACTCTGGTTTTGTGAAGTCCCTTGTGTTGCTGTAAAGTAAACCAGCCTGCTTCCCCTGCAAGAGGGCCATGGCTGGCCGTGGGCTCTGTCCTCTTTGATCCTGATTCGGGAGGGAAATGACGTGGAAAGGAGATGGAATCTCAGGGCTGGCATCCATTTCGCTGGTGGAGACAAACACACTTCCAGAGATGTGAAAAATCCCACTTGGTTTAAGTCATTTTGCTTCCTGCCCAGGACGTCTAAAGGGGCCCTTGTTCTCTGTGAGCTGGTGTGCATTTTATGCTGGTATGAGGTAAAGGCACTTTATATTATTTTATTGTCTGTGCAAAATGAACTGTCACCTCCCACATTATTACACAGGAGTCTTACTCTCTTACGTGGTATCTGAGGAACATAGCCAGGGGCAGGAACTCTTAACAGAGACTGAACTAACACCAAAGTGTGGAAGAGAGCTATTCCAAGATGAAGGATGGTTCCCGGGGCCGGGTGAGGTGATGGAAAATTAAAAAGCCAGACGTCAGCAAATGGAGAAAGAGTACCTCTTCTCCTGCTTCACTCAGGATTTCGGGCTTGCTTTTGCAAAGTGCCTGTCATACAGACTGTTTCCAAAACCACTTTGCAGTTAATAAAAAGCTGTTTTGGCATTTGTAGGTATGTGGTAATAAATCGTGGCAGAGGCAGAGGGAAAAATCACATTCAGGAGATGACACTGCCGTCAAGTGTCTTGCAGTGGGAGAGGCTGAAGAGCTGACTCCACTCTTACACGGATTTAGACGGCTCTGTCAAACAAGGAGAGCCACGTTTTGAGCAGTGACCACAAAGTGTGGCTTCTTAAGCTTTCCCCACTTCTCTGTGCCCCCTGCCTGTCCAATCTGCCAGGTGGAGATACCGAATCACACACAAATTGACACACATTAGGTCAGTTTTAAGCATACGATCGTTTAAATCCCCCTTATCCACAGTTTGTCTTTCTGCTGTTTCAGTGTTGCCAGTGGGGTGGAGGCAGTTGATTCTGACAAATAAATGGTTGCAAAGTCAATAGTAGCCTAAGGATGGATGCACCGCAGCGCCTATATCATTCCCCTCGCCGCATCTCATCACGCAGCTATTTATCATCTCACATCATCATAAGAGGAAGAAGGGTGAGTACAGTACAATAAGATATTTTGAGAGAGGGAGACCACATTCACATGGCTTTTATTACAGTATCTTGTTATATACTTGTTCTATTTTACCATCATTTATTGTTAATCTCTTACAGTACCTAATTTATAAATTAAACTATCATAGGTATGTATGTGTAGGAAAAAACTAGTATATATAGAGTTTGATATTATAGGTGACCTCAGGCATCCCCGGGGGGTCTTGCAACATGTCCGCTGTGGGTAAGGGGGTGGGGCGGGGGCTGCTGTATAACCAAGTTGAGGGCAAAAGCTTGAAGGTGGATACACGTGGTACAAAATTGGGAGAAAAGATTTGACTAAATTTAGCCTAGACCCATAATTAAATCTCCAGCTGCAGCTGCCTTCAGGCCCCAACAAGAGATTCTCAAACACTGAACCTCTATAAAACAGAGTTTATTCTGGAAGCTGAAATAGAAACTGAAATACTAGTTTTACAAGGTAGAAGAGAAAAAGCTTTCACCGTTTTACCTTGTTGAGGGCAATTTTTCTTTGGTGATTGTGAATTGGAAACAGTAGATGGCGATGTTGCCTTTATCTCGGGGGAGAAGAGCTGTTTGTCAGAAACCGGTGAACTGAGACGAGCACGTGCCATCTGGGGTTAAAGTGTTTCAGTCGTGTTAGAAATGTACCTATTGTATCCCACTAGAAGCTAAAGAGTTTATCTCAGCTTTTTATGAGCTTTTTTATACCTTTCTGCAGTGTTGAGGTTGTGCTTTTATATTGCAAGGGGTGACCAGAGCAGTAAGTGCAGGGAAGGAATTTGTGTGAACCCCAAGCCTTCTGCTCTGACCTGATATACCCATCCAAGGAGGCAGTCAGCAGCTGACAAAATCTAACAAATTAAGTTTTGAAAAAAGAACTCCATATATTTGTTTCAAAGAAATGGTAGATGAATTGCAGAGTTGGTACACTTCCACAATAGTACATTTCAGGAACTAATAATAAAAAAATGCAATAGCAATAATAATACTACAAATGTATCTACTATTTATTGTTTGCTATGAGCCAGGCCCTGTGTCAACTGTGTTACACGTCTGTTATTTTGTAATTCTCAGAAAAATCTCTAAGGAAGGTATCGCTAGTCCCATTTCACAGGTGAGGTCGCTTTGAGAAAGTGGAAGGATTTTTTTCCCAAGGTTAGTCCCTGGATTGGCTAGGATTCAATGTTTAGCTCCTCTGACTTTTTGCTGGCTTCCTTATACTATAAACAGAATTTCTCTCACTTTTGTAAAGCCAGTCAAGATACAGGCAAGTGTATTTTCAGAATTAACCTTCAAAATTTAGAAAGGAGAGACATAAATTTCAGAAATGGGAAATAAGCCTGTGGGGTTAAAGGAAATACTTAAAATTTTTTTTTTAGAACTTTCTGTACATTAATCAAAATAATCAGATCTGGTTTGTGTGTAAATGTGTGTGTATGTACCTATAGCCGAGGTACTGAGCACTCCGGCCACATGATCACGGCTGAGGTAGTCTATAGACTCAGGCCTCCCCTAATTCACGGCCCGCTCCTTTTCCAAGCCTGGCTGCATGAGGCTGCCTAAGCTGTAAACTGTGAAGGTCACTGGTTGATTTTCTAAACAGAAGCGTGCCTTGCCCATCACGTTTTCTAAGCTCAGCAAATGGTGAAGAGGAAACGATTGAGCATCAGGGGGCCGTGGTTGGGGGTGGCAGGGTGCATCATGGTGCCTGAACGTTTCCCAATGCTCTGCTTCAGCTTCCTGCCCCGTGCAGTGAGCGCTTCGGAGTCGGTGGGCCCTCGATCCTTTCTGGGCACACATTTCTATGATTTCACTTCCCATCCTGGGCCGCAGGGTTGCCTCGGAGTGGCCAACTCTGAGCGTTCGCCGTCACTGTTGTAGCACAGAACCCACGTGGGAGCAGCCAGCTTTGTAAGCCCCTCGGAGGGGAGGAATCACCCCCCTGTCCTCTTCCCTCTAAGGACTCAGCTATAAGCCAGGCCTCACGAGGTCATTTTCTAAATCCACATCTCAAAAAAACCACAGGTGTTCGGGAACCACAGGGCGGAGGGAGCCTGGCAGGGGCCTTGCCTGGAGCCACGCTGTGGATCCTGGCAGGGCACAGATGGGGGACCACCTGCCCTCGCGGGGGCCTCCCTGCCTACGCCCCTGCTGGGCAGTGAGGCCTGGCTCCCGAGCTTCCCGGTGGGCGCCGAGCCTCTCGTCCCATGCCGGGGTTTGTGGCCTGCGCCTGTGGCCCCCCGAGCCAGGCTCGCTGTGCCTCTGTGAACCGGGCCTGCAGCGCGCGGCTGCAGAATGAGTCAGGGCCAGCTGCGGCCAGACCCCGGAAAGGCAACCCTTAATGAATCCGGATTATTGCAGCTCACACCTACAGTGTACGTCGTAGAAAACAAATGCAGCGGGAAGTCATGAAGCATTAACTGGGGCTCCTCGCCTCTTTCCACCGCTGTGTTCTTGCCAGCTGGGCCGAGACCAGAGCCTGGCGTGGTCGCTCAGGCTGGGCAGGAGAGTCAAGAGGCAGCTGGAGAACAAAGACAGAAAAGTCTGAACATTTCGTTTCAAAAGCGCTGGGTTCAGGTATTTGAGGAGCTTGAGACAGTCACAACCCGCATTCATCTGTCCCCTACGCGGCGCTGTAAAGGCGTGCAGCTGGGAAAGGAGTAAGAAGCTGGGACATGCGAGGAAGTTAAGAGCTGGAGTGCACTGTGCGTGTGGTGACGGCTGCAGGGAAAGGAAGATTCTGCACCCAAGCATATCCTTGTGTTCCTGGGCCAGACCTCAAGAGGAGCAGTAACATCCCCCGTGGGTCTGGTGGTCTCAGAGCAAAGTTACCCTGTGCTTGGAGTCCCAGAATGCAGTCCTGGGAAGCAACCCCATGTCCCCTGTGAGGCCCATGGGCCTGGGGAAGCTCTGGAGGCTTCGGCAGCCCAGCCGCGTCCCTCAGTGTGCTGTGCGAGGCAGGCCGGACGTTTTGGTGGCCCTCTGACTAGGGCCTAGCAGGTAGCAGAGAGAGAGCCTATAAGCCCTGGGGGCCTAGGCTGTCAGGTGGGGTTGGGCGCAGAGTAACCTGCTTGGGCCTGGCACCTGAGGCAGAGTCCCTGGATGCACCAGAAGATGCCCACGTGGCAGCTGGTGGCAGCCAAGGTCCGTGATGGGAGAGGACTCTAGATGTCACCGGGACTCGGGCAGGGAGGACTCCCAACTCAGGACTGATAAGTGCACTGCTCTGCTCTCTGTGTGCCACAGCCTGGGTGCACCCCTCAGCTCCTCTCTCTCTCGGGGCCAGGGTTTTGAAAGTGGTTTTGTGTGGATAATCTTGTATTTTATTTATCATGTAACTTGTTGAAAATTATACTTTAGCTTCTTACAGTCTCTCCCCCAGACTGAATACCATTGGCAAAATGAGCTCATCAGGCTCCATCTAGCCGCATTATTAGAACGTGTGTGTGGTACTTGTCACCCTTTGTCCTTGGTTTGCAGTTCCAAGAGAGGAAATGTGCCATTTAATGTTCTGTTTCAAGAAGATATTATTATCACCACTTTACCCATGAAGAAGGTGAGGTTCAGAGACGGCAGGTCCCTTGCCCCAGGCCACACAGCTAGGGGTGGTAGAGATGGGATTCACACTCCAGACCTACATGTTTCCCAAATCTTCACTTTCCCATCACACCACACAAATTTCTCTACTACTAGTCTGGGTCAAACATCAAGTTATATATGAAGAAATAATCCAACGTAGTATAACTTTCCAGGTCACACACATGAAGAAACAGAAAGGAAAAACTCCACCGAATTCCAAACAAAACAAACTCAAACCCGTAAAGTAATAACTGCTTCTTTCCATGTTTTATCCACAGGCACCCCAAATACATGTCCTACGCCCAGCTCATTCCCATTCCCATTCCAGCTTGCTTTTCCTCCTGTATTTCTGAACTTGGTTGGTGGCAGTATCAGCCAGGCAACATCCCCCGAACCTAGAAACAATGTTGTCATTTGTTACCTCTTTTTCTCTAACCCTCCTCTCTGCTAGTTCCAGGCTATTAGCCTTTTGAGTTGGAACAGTCCTCAGGAAATCCTTTTCTTTCCATTTTTCCCCTCTGCTGGTGGGTTGGAGTAGTTTTCAAGCTTTTTATTCCTTTGCTTACATATTTCCTAAAATAATTTTGAAACTCTGTAACCCCCCCACATACTATCAAGCTCTTCCCTTTAAAATGTTTCTTCATAATTGCAGATATTTGCAAAGGTTCTAATCCAGCATGTTGCAAATACTGACATTAGAAAAGTATTTCATTCCTCATCATTACTCTTTAAAATGTATCCTATAAAGTCAAAATAGTAGCGATTGATATCCACTTCATTCATTTTAAGAAATACATGTTTCAGTAAATGGTGTGGTACAACTGGAGGTCCATATGAAAAAGATTTGAAACTCAGCCATGCCTCATATTGTATGCAAGAATTAACTCAAAATTATAGACCTAAATATAAAACCCAAAACAATAAAACTTCTAGGAGAAAACATAGAAAATCTTAGTAATATTGAATTAGGTAAAGTGATTTATAGAGGTGACATCAAAATCACAGTGCATAAAGTTTAAAAAATGGATGAATTAGACCTTATCAAAATTAAAAAATTTTGCTTGGTGAAAGGCAGTGTTAGGAGGCTGAAAAGACCCCCAGTTATATCACACCATTTATGAAAATGTATTTCTTAAAATGAATGATTGGGAGAAAATATTTTGTAAATCATGTATCTGGCAAAGGACTTGTATCCCTCCAAACCTTATAATAAAAAAATTAAATTTTGACCAAATATTTGGCCACTTCAGCAAAAAAGTTATATGGACGGCAAGCACATGAAAAGATGCTCAGTGTCATCAAGGAAATGCAAATTAAAACTTTCATGTGATGCCATGTACACCATTAGAATGGCTATAATCAAGAAACAAAAAAAACAATACCAA